AGTGAGAACCTATGATACTTGACGTAACACAACATTTAAATCATAACTCGTATTCAAAAGCTTCTTATTTGCAATAAACATATGCTTTGTATTCAATGCCTTTCAGAGCACACATTTAACTGGTGCAATAAATTGCCTGTACATAAGTTATCTCTTAGTAATTGAGGACCATTGAATAAGCATTATGCGCGTATACTTGTTATGGTTTTTATTTTAATTCATTTTGAATTTGGTAATTCTTATTAATGGGAAACGATCACAAATGTTACCTTCAACAAAATCAACGTTTAATATCGTGTTAATTATTATTCAACGGATTTTGTATTGATTTAAACGAGAGAAATCGAGAAACGTTTAGACATACAACACACCCCCGACGTCACTTTGCTTACGATCTTGTGGCATACGATACATATACACCATGGGTTGAGTGTATATTGCAAGAAAGACTACAAAGATGAGAGAGAGAGAGTATGAATGTAAATGTATGTGAACGCGTAACCATTTAAAATTGAAACAGATAATTGGACACACATTCTGACTTTTCGACATTATTTATTGCTGTACCATGCTCGTATGTATATGGTTTTCGTCTGTGTCGTACTTCAAAATGCTCATTGTTCAAGTGTACTCTTGAACACAGTGACACAAATCGAGCGCACATACATGTGTTTACTGTGTATGTATGTGTGTGTGTGAAGAGAAATGCTATAAAATGGCAAGAATACAATGTGCGCTCGGAATAAAATGGTCCGCCTATTTTTGCATCATTATGCATAAAAAAAGAGACGAGAATTAAAATAAAAGAACCCAAGAATTTATCAGTCAAATAACAAAAACTCCGCCGATATATAAACACAAAAGACGGTGGAAAGACATTTTCATATATATTTTTTATTGGAGAGAGACAGTCATTATAGATTTTTGGCATACCATAAAAATGCGACGAAGATGAGAAAAAAGCATGACATAAATGTGTGTAATTAAATTTTGTTGTTCGATGACAGCCCAGCTGCAAACCGACCAATGTCTAACACGAAACAAACTAAAGCGTCAAAAAATGAGCACCAATTCTTGATATCACTTGACTAATAAGTCTATGAAAAACACTGACAAATTAAAGACAAACAAACAAAAAATACCATTGAGAACGATTCATTTTTTTCGCGGCGAATGTAAAAAACCACGACGGCGTTCGCAGTTCATTTGGATTTTATCACGTATCGTTCGAATTTCATTTTAGTTTTATTGAGTCGTGCCAATTTATAACGATCATAGAAACATTTTTAATTGTTCATCGAACTCAACACATCGATTGCAATTTTGATTTTTATTCTATGCACTCAATAAAAACAATTTATATGGCTTACGATTTCCGTTCGATTTTTGTCATAGAGTTAAAATCGGAGCAAGTAACGGGCGGTCGCATTGTGCACGATCTAAACATACACATAGCAGTTGGTAAAATGTTTTGACTGTGGTTTTATTTGCAATGTATCTGTCGCCACCCTGTTTGATGCGGCTGTTAGTTCCGCGATTCGATTTGGTAAATAATTAAGAAACAACTGTTGCCATGTGTGCGCGAGTTGATTTTCAATTTGCACACATTTTATTTTTTTTAATTCGTCGTTTACTGCAGTTTTCAATTGACTTCGGAAAGAGACCAGAGGAACACAAGTTTTATTACTTTTACATCTTCAGCGGAAACATTTAATGGATGCAAACGAAATGCAGAGAAATTGAAATTTTCATTTATATACCAACACAGAATTGTATCTGCGTGTATGTGTGCGTTTCTGCGTTTTGCATTTCAAGTGTTTTCTTCTTGGTTTTTCTCTCCATTTGGTGTGTTTTTTTTGTATATCTTTTTATGAAATTATGCAAGAGTCTGCGTTTTTTTCTCGCTTTCCAGTTAAAAATGATCAAAATAGGATGATGGCACAAAAATGAAGAAATGTGAAACAAATATCAAAAATAATGAATGAAAACGTTCGAAAGTCGATTGACGTAAAATTTGAAAATATTAAGTGATAAATTGGGTGTTGCAGTTGTTGGAAGTCAAGAATGAAACAGAAGATTGATTAGAACCTCTTTTTTAATCTTTAAAGCGTGATAATGTGATGTAACAACCAAATTTTGTCGAGCGAAATTGATGATTTTTTTTATATGGTGTTAAGTCAAATTGAATGACATTTTTTTTACAATTTAAAGGGTGGAATTCATGATTTTGAGCGAAAATCTTTCTTACGTTTTGAAAATTAAGACTCAAGATAAGGCATTCATCCAAAAAAAGATTGCTTCTCGGCTGACGCAAAGAATTTTGACAATTTGATCATGAATAATTATCGCAATTAATGGAATGAAAAATAAAACATTGACAAAGATGACATTTATAGGAATAAAAAGGAATTTTAACTGTGATATACACGAAGCAAATCCACTAACAACCAGTTCAAGTGATTTGATCGATTTAATTCAAATAAATGAATTATTTGATAATCAAGCGGAATTGTATGTTGCCCTTCAAAAAGAGGTAAAACATAACAAACAAGGCACCACATGAGCACGATTTTTAATTGGAAACCAGTTAATATTGTAATTGGAGCATAACAACTTACTGAAAAGTGATATCGTGTGAAAATAAAAATGGATGCACATAATGCATAAGCTTAATCAACTCATATTTTACACGTGTGCATTCTACTATTAGGTATTATTTGTAATTCTTCAAATTCAATATAAAATAATTGTCTGGTCATTTATAATACGAAACCAACATCTAATTCATTGTAGCGATATATAAATATTCTTCATTATTTGCGGGTAAAATTTATTTTTAAAATTTGAAAACAACCTATTCAAAACAAACCATTTATAAATAAATGTTTAGTCAAAGTTTCATTCCAGTCAGTGCCGATTGTTCTGCTTGAAGTTTAAATATCCCGACCGAACTTGAATGAATTTTTTGGTCACCAATTTTCAAATTTGCACTGTGGTGATCAGCTTTTGAGTTAACACGATTTGTATGATCAAATTATATCCAAATTTCCAATAAAATAATAAAAAAAATGGTGATTTCACTTCTTTTCTTTTGTTTATATTTCATTTTCCATTAAAAATTCATTCATACATATTTAAAACTTTGATGTACGTTAAATAAATTTTGATTTCCGCCACGTAAATCCCGGTGAGGAAAATCAACACCATAGAGTATAGTAGATCTTTACCCAAGCTGTAAAAAATGTCACCATAATTATTAAGCTGCATACACCGTTTAGTGCAGCGCGCGTTTAATGATGTTTCCTTCTTTTTTTTTAAACAACAACGTCTTATCTGAATATATGAACGAATAGCAAGAGGCGACGGGGCACGCACGAGACCAACGCATTATTTCCTTTCATTCGAAGCCAAGAAAATCTACTAACGACAATGCTCCTCGCTTTGCCTATGCCAACGACACATTCAATGCTGAGACTTAATCATTTCAAGTTGCAAAATGAGACAGATGTGCGGAAAAGATGTAGACAAACGAACCACACACACATATATATAAATGAAAAAGATGATTGCTGGTGTATATTGAAGTGCAGAAAAAAACGACACTATTTTCAATTCATTGCACTTGAACCACAATTTAACATTCAAACTACATCGAAAATAGAATCGCAAAACCTAATTTCAGACAAGCTGTATTTTAAAAATACATGAACATTTGAACACATTCACTACAAGATGAATGGATAAGATCAGCTGGTATAACATTAATAAATACATACCGCCTTTTTGAACGACATTGTCCTTATATATTCGATTAATAGCGCTGTGCAGAAGTGAATTTGGCATTTTCGATCGTCAAAACTAACTAAAAATTCGATTCGAATAATTCCAGAAATCTTGAATCAAGAACTTGATTTTTTTTAAATTCGTTTTTAAGCTTTTTTAATATTCCGGAAATGATCACTTACCTATTTGATACCATCGAAATACTTATCTTTATTTATCCAAGGTGGTTAGATTCCTTAAGTCATTTTCATCATTGGTGGAATAGAATGTAGCAAATCTTTCATTTCCTTACCTTTACTTATCCACTCTGACAGATTTTCCATGAAGTTCGTTGCTCATGTTTGCCTCAGAAATGATTTTTTTCAAGCAAGTCATAGTGAATACTACCTGCATGTTTTTTTTTTCACCATAAATGTAAAAAAATCCATAAGCACCCGTCACTTGCATTTCCCATCCAAATTGCATTTTAATAAACAAAGTGAATAGTAAATTTTTGGACGGAATCAAAAATGAGTTATTGTAACTGCTGTAATTGATTTTGTAAAAGTAATATCGAAATTGGATGTTTTAATTAGAGAAAATTCGTTGGGTGAGACTGACTTTCTTGAGGCCCATTAAATTTAATTTCGATATGCCCAAACGAGAAGGCGAAGAAAAGAGCGAAAAGGACACAAAATAAACGAAAATTGGCTCAGGAATCTGCCGAGAGATACATGGATTTGTTATGGGTTTTAATAACATATTTTTTCATCTGCTGTCGAATGGGACGTTTCTTCCGTCTCAAATTACCAAATTCAAATACACACAAAAATGCTCATCTGAATGTGTTGAGTGTAATGGCATATACTAATCATACTAGATCACAAAGAAACAAGCGAAAGATGCTACTAAATTAGTATTCTCTCATATGTATTAGTAGTACTAATACATATGAGAGAACCGATTCGGTAAGACAGAGACAGCATAGACTCTCGATGCGAGGTAGTAAGACACAATTTTTGTTTTCTGTAATTCTTTCTATTTCATTTAATTTATATACAAAAAAATAAAGCATACATTTTCTTTGTCATCATATTGGTTACTAAAATACAAACTAAACGATCCTAAACACTGTATACATTATTCTAAATATTCTGGAATTGTTTGGAGTTGCGCGTTTGTGTTCATTTTATAAAATTGTAATATATCATTTGAGATAAAACGCATTTGGATTAGAAAAAAAATGGCTCAAAAAGTTTGTGAGTTGTGAATTCGGAGGCAAAATAAGAATGAATTTTAGTTAGTGGATTTCGTTTTTTTTTCGTGCTGATCAAATGCTTTGAAATAGAGAGAGAGAGAGATGACGAGCAATTTAAATATGCGCGCAATTTTTCGATTGAGATCAACTGTTATATATCTGATTCCAATCTAGAATATGAGAACGATATGAATGATTTCGTTTGCATCACATCTTATATCGCTCCGAACCGAGGGGAAAAAACACCATTTCTCTTCTTTTGACGCATCACTAATGACTATTCGATTCAAGTTAAGATTAACTGACTGTCTTAATCTACATGAAAACTTAAACCGCGCACTTGAAATCGCTTCATTAACAACAACAACAAATTCTTATTTCTCAAATGATTCTCATTTTAATCGTACATTGTGTATATATCATTGAAAATGGATTTTTGTTCACATTATTATCGTATATTTCATCTTAAAAATGGTACTCATTTTATCTATATCATATATTTTAATACTGAATATAATCTCTATAATAGACGCTAAACATTTATTTTTGTGCGTGTTTCTTTGTTCGATATATAGTAACACGATTTTACTTTGATGTATATTTTTTACCGTTTTTGTTTGCGAATGTGTGAAATGTTGGTTTGAGTTAAGTTGATTGTGCATCGGAATTTTATGTTTTACCGGTATTCAATTCGCCCTCCATACGCCATACGCTGAAACATCGGCTTAACTCCTCCTGTGATGGCCATGCCGACGACTCATTTTCCATTGACTTTAAAAACGTAATTTCATTGCTGGTTATCACTTCGTACAGGAAATCTATGTAGCTACAAAGTTTTTTTTTTTGAACGCAGCAGAAAAAAGAATAGAAGAACAAAGTTTGTGTGTGATTAATTTTTTTAATTTTTTTTTTTTCAATTTTATTATATGTATCAAAGTGACAAACAAAATGTCATGATAATTGCTTAAAGGAATATATGGCATCTCTTTGATGTGCACCTAATTCAATTCATGGAAGTGGAAAATATAAAAAATCAGTGTGCATATCTCTCCCCCCTCTCTCATTCTCACTCTTGGTTTTTGATGTTCAATTTTTGTCTTTCGAATGTGCGGTCGCAAATCTCCAGTCCAATAAATGAACATTTAACGACGGCAAAATGAAAACTGGCCCATAAAACGAATGCCAAGCAATGTACGAAATGACTTCTTGGTATTTGGGCTCTGAAACGAGTGACACTTCAAAAGAGATGCTCATCAAATGAAATGTAACGTACATTATTATCCAAAACAGTCAGAACTTCATCGACTTAACACAAAGATCTATCAGAGTTGTTGTTCCGGTCCACAGATCAATTTGACGAAACATTTTTCAAACAAAGCCATTCATTTGAGACTTCATTTTCAGCCATGCAATTTTTATAACATTTCAATGTTTGTTTGTTTTATCATATACATTTCTTTCGTTTTCTTTCGGCCGTTGTTTGATTCATTTCTCTTAATTTTGCGCAAAAAAAAGTAACAACAAAAAATTCTAACGTCTGAAATGAATTCTGTCGCGACGCCAGAACTAGATTGCATTCATTGGCCGTCAATCTTTCGACGCTGATCTTGGGTCTATCCATCATATAACAATGGTTCTTGATGTATTTTTATGATGCAACGCCACCGCCGCCGCCAATCTCGCTCTCTCATTGCAAATTCTTGCCCATTTTACTCCGGCCGAAAATGAAAGGCGCCCATTATTCACAACCATTTGAGCATTTAATTTCGTTTTATTTCTGAACTCTTTTATATATAGTATTATTTTTCTTTTTGTGTAAAGACTTCGGAGCTTTGTTCTTTTGTGAGTGTATGGTTTTTTTTACTGCAAAAATAACATCTCGAATTCTCTCTTGGGCGAATTGATTGTGTATGTAATACAAACGAACATTCTCGCCGATTGCAGATCGCTAATTGAAATTGAAATCATTCATTAAATTATTTAATTGGGTTAAATGCAGCAGCGCCTACAAATAGGCGAATTCATTTCGATTTATTCCACACACAAATTGAATCTGGCACAATACATTGTACATGTACATTCACATTCACCGATCGATTTTGCGATAATAATGATTTCTATTTAACTTACAAAATCGAGACAGAAACAGATTCAAATGTCAAATTAAGAAAACTCATGTCAAATCAATCGAAATCACGATGCACACTTTTTAGATGCATATTTTTCAAATTCAATCAACTCAACGAAGTTTTTGATTCGAAAATGCATTGGTGGACAACTTTAAAGGATTGAATGAAATGAATTGGTGATTAAGATTTCCCTCACACTCTTTCGCATTCTCTATTTTTTCTTCCTTTTCTCCAAAATCGTTCATTTTAACCATTAAAAGCCGTTTGTATTGTAGTTTCAACGTTTTAAAAAAAGACGTCAAAGTTTGAATGCTAACAAATCGATATTGACAAATCGTTTTCTTACGAAATTCCGGATTTTTCTCTTCAAAAACATTTTTCAAGCACAATTTTCGTAAAGAACTGCTTTTTCTTCAGAAAAGTCGTTTCAGTTCAGAGTAGTCGTTTAGAACTGTTGAAATTTTCTTAGTTCATTTTCCAAAATAAATCCTCTTCGAAATACATTCAAATGCTTAATTTTGAAAAGGAAAAATCTCAAAAACGTGGCCAAATTCATTATAAAGTGAAATTCGATGGAAAACAACAACATAAATCGTCTAGCCTTAAATTGGTTGATGCTTAACACTTTTCAAACATCCTCGTTCATTTTTATTTTGCTCCGCGCACAAAAAAAAAATGAAAAGAAAGAGGGGGAAAGAGAGATATACGAAGAAAAAGAAAAGAAGGAAAAAAAAGCGACAAAAAGATAATTCTAGTTCAAACGTAATAGAAAATTTGTGAGCTGTGAACGAATGTTGTGCGTGGATAGAGTTCAACATTTTTGTTCATCGGTTGAATCATAATTGGTGCGAGAGTAAAAAAAAACTGAAAATCAATCATGATGCATGATCATCATTTCTGGTAGTGCTTCCAAAAAACAACAAAAATTTCACTAATTTTATTTATGATGATGGTGTTCATTTTATTTTTCTCTGTCTCTTTTCGAAATAAGCCAAAAATCCATGGCTATGTATGTCTCACGAGACTATCATAAATATAATTTAACCAGAAGCGAAAAAATGAAACATCTCTTTTTTTATTCGAAGAAGATGGAAAAAAACACAACATCGGAAAACACTTAACTAATGAAAATGCCACTGAACATATAACAGTAAATGTAAAACAAAAGTGCAAACTGCATTCGAGTGTTTATTAGAAAAAATAGAATTTTCGGCCCACAGAGAGAAAGTGGCGATGAAGTGGAAGGGTGTTGAATGAATTATGATATAAAACTTAAGTGGCTTTCATTTTGTTGGTTTTTTTGTGTTTCTCCCTTGTTTCGGTCCGAAAAACATATTTTTTGTATGGATTTAATTTTTTGATTTTGAACACGGCGAAAGAAATTTTCAAGAGCAGTCGAAGAAAGATCAACTTATCTGCAATTGTCAAGTGGCTGATAATGGAGTGTCTGATATTTCTTCTTTATTTCATGCCTTTTATAATTTATAAGACATATTCAATGCCAAAGCCTCCACAACGCACGTCAATTTTCATCGTGCCAATCGCCATAGGCCCGAAAAACTACACTCGATGAGTGTTTCAGTGGATAAAACCTTAAATTACAAAATGCACTCTAATCGATAAATGATCAAGATATAAATTATTTCAATTTAAAGATCCATCTGATCCATCAAATTTATGCAAAAAAGACTCATTCTCTTTCTATTTCTCTCTTACTAAAGAAAACAACGAGTAACCTCATTACGTCACCATGATCACATTTATTACAACATTAACATTTGGATTCAGTTTATTCGTTCTGTTCCCATCGTTTAAAATGTTCCATTGTTTCGCATACGCTTCATTAAAAAAAAAACTAGCAGCAAGAGCATTCTTTTATGATTTTCCAAAGCCTTGTCCGAAAGTATTTTAAAAAGGAACATGCTAAAAATGTCCCGAAAAGTCGTTTCAGGCAAAAGGTATGTAAATTTCATTCATGCAATGAACTGAAAAAAAAAACCATGGGAAAATCCGGCACGCTTCTTTTATTGTTGTTATTACAGCGGGAATTTACCGCACCAAAGACAGGGATATAGACGCCAACTAATAAAATTTTACTCATAAGAGAAAAATCCCATGAACAACAATAATAACATCATAAACAAAGAGACAAAACAGCATATTTATGAAATAAATTACCGTGAAAATCCGGCAGTCATAAAAGTGATCGTTTGACTGTGCTGGAAACAAATGGGAAGTCACCAAAGCACAATGTGTGAATGAAAAGAGTGTATATGCGAGAGAGAGAGAGAGAGATCGAGATAAAGAGAAGAAGAAGTGTGACAATGTAATGGAATATATAGGTGTGTGTTTTTATTTTGGTTTCGGGGGAGGTGTGAGTCATAAAAGCAGCTTAAAAAAATTATGTGCTGTGGTGTGATTTTTCTTACCTGGATGCCAATTTGAGTGTTTGGATTTTACTGAGTTTATCACTAGGTAATGTTGGAATGATTTTTCTCAACGATGCAAATGCTTCGTTCAAACTTTGGGTACGTTGTCGTTCTCGTACATTGGCCATAACGCGTTGCGACTGCAAATCATCGTATGATGTTTCCTTCATTTGTTTTTTTCGATTGCGCACTTTGTATTTGCGAATTTTGCCCAGTGCATTTGGATTGGACGCATTTGGCGATGTGGGCGTTTTTGGTGCGTCTATCGCTGTTATCGCTGTGAATGAATCACTTTCTTTGGGAATTTTCGCATTTGGACAATCATTTTTCAATTTTGAGCGATTATTTTTTCGTTTCTTTGTATTACCGCCCTTGCTCTTTCCATCAAATTGATTGTGCACCTCAATATTATTATTATTATTGTTGTTGATGCTATTATTATTGTTTAGCAAATTGATTTGTGGCATTGTATTAATATCGGAAAATGGATTTGTACTTGATCTCATTTGCATATCAACTTGTGCAGAGCAATCGGGTGACAAATGTTGATGATTGTATTGCGGCTGTTGCTGCTGCTGATGATGATGTTGTTGTTGTTGTTGTTGTTGTTGTCCGTTACAATTGCCGTAATACATATTTGGATTTGTTTGAATGCCGCCCATGGAATAGTCATCGGATGTGTACATAATGGTGTTATTGTTGATTGAATTGCCATTGAGATTGGCCAAATCGGATGGCAACTCAGACATTGTATAGTAAAGACCGTATTCTTTGGCTTTTGGTTTTGCCGTTGCCGTTTTAACTTCGATCAACGTTCGTGGCGGATGAATGGTGAGCTGTGAATCAAAATTGCATAATGCATTTGGAATGGGCACTGTATTTAACGATTGAGTTTCATCTGATTGTGAATCGGTCGGTGTGACTACACTACGGCCGCAACTTGAAGCTGGCGATCGATAATTTATATCATAATCGGGCTGCTCAATTTTTATCGATTGCAAACCAAAATCGTTATGACTATTATTCGTATAATTTTGTGTATTCAGTTTTAATAGAAGATGCTCTTTTGTAAAATGTGACTGTTGCAGTAGCTGAGACGATGATTGATGCTGCAATGCTTGTTGATTGATCGTTTGATTGTGATGACTGTGATACAAATTGTGCGAATGATACGAATGATTTTCAATTTCATTATGACCTATTGGATTTAATTGGAAAAACGATTATTAATTTAAAAAAAAAACGGAATTAGACGAAATAGGAAATTGAACGAAAAAAAGAGGAAGCGAATTGTTTTGTGAAAATGTTCATTTATCTTATCAAAAATGAAATGAAAATATGTTTTTTCTCCTTTTCTTTATATAAAATATCCAGTGACGATTTTGGTTCAAAAATCTTCCATATTTCCGAATATTGATACATTTTGACTAGGAGGTAGACACGTGAAATAGGATTAGACTTTTAGTGTAACAAATCGAAAAATTGAAATGGAACAGACAATTCAGTAGCTGGATTCACACGGATTCACTAATCTCATGTATGGAATAGCAAAAATTCGTTAGATTCAATGTTTTTGTAGTCAATAGTACAGAATTTCATTAAAGCATTGAATTTGGCAAAATGTGACATTATATTTGACAATGAAATGACGGATTAGTGGAAAAGTGGGTCTAGTGTTGGAATCATGGTTTAATAGTTTGTGTCTCCCCTCTAGAATTTTAAGTAGTGAACAATAACTTCACTTTCTGTGAATATTCATGAATATTCGTGATTATCGTAAATACGCAAAATGGCTGCAAATGGTACAAATGCAAATGTCATTTAGTGGAACGTCATTTGTAAAATCACACAGGCTTACTATAAGAATATTAATTCCCTTGTGGAAAAAAAAATGACTGACTGACTATAAATTAAGTCAATTTTAATCACTTTTATTCGGTTAAAATTACCAATAGATGATTGAAATCGAATATAGTCGGTTATGTTCCGTAGTTAACTATGATCACAATCGACATTTCTCAACTCAAGTTACATGAAGACGCATATAGTCACTTACATTAACTTTAACTGGCTGAAATATCAGCCATTTTTGTCCCAAATTAGTCAATTTATAGTCGACTATGAAGTCGAAATATTTCCACAAGGGTTACACACCACTTTTGAAGTTCTTCACCCACATTTTTTTTTTGTCAAAGAAATATAAATTTTTAGCCTGAAAATTGATTTTATACAATAATAACATGATTATCAATTTTATTTTGTGTTGTATGCGTTTCAAATTGCTGCTGTATAATTACAAAAAACTACGATAATCACGAATATTTTTAATATTTGTGGCCATATACCAAATTCATACAAAACTGTGTTTATTTGATGTTTTTTTCGAGTTTCGAGCCCCTGACTTTTTCCCCTTTTCTTTATATAAAATATCCAGTGACGATTTTGGTTGAAAATTCAGAAAAATGTTAATGGTAGCTTGTGCATTATGTGAATTTATTCTATTATTTGAGCTAAGAGATATTATCTATTCGCGAATGGACAAAATTTATTAATTGTAGAATAAAGTCGTCATTTTAGTAAAATAATTCAAGCAATTCGCGTATAATTCGTAATCTATTCGCAAAAAGTTATCACAATTTGATACATACAAAACATAGAAATTTTGCGAATTCTCTCACGTTCATTGCAAATTGTTTTTTTAAATCGCAACTTTACTGGCCCATCGCTTACAAATTATTTTGCATAGAATTCACAAAATATCGAATATCACTATGTTCTGATCGAGATCCGATCCCCTAGTATTTGAGTGTTGTCCTTCAATTTATAACTTTTATAATTCATTTGCATACAAAATACCTAGAATGTTGTTTCCGTTTTGAATGATATTGTGATTGCTTATATCCAAAATTAATTTGGGAGAACACGCTCGAACTATTGTGGTGGTTGACATAATGAATTTTTTCAAAATAATTTTCCGTTTTTACACTTTCACAAATGATTTTTTTTTGTTTTGATCAATGTTTCAATGTTTTTTCCTAGTAAGCAAATAACAAAGGAATCACAAAAGAGTCGTCTCACATAAATTCATATCAATTTAGCACTACGCACAAATAAGCATTTCGCAGGAGACGAGCATCACTCTCGTTTGAGATCCACGAAAATACTGAGGCAGTTAGAACATTTCTCGAGCATCGAGCACACACAACACAGATGCACAATACAAATAAATTTTCTCTATGTTCGATCTTCAAATGAGTCGGTCTTTCTCACTCTATGGAAAACACATACACGCCATGATCGTCGACTGAGGAAAACAGCCGTTTTTTTTCTTCTTGTCTCATTCTTCTCCGCATTGCCACTACGTTGTCGTTTGTGCTTTATGAGTTGCGTCGATGACTTCGGAAGCTGTCGCCGATTGCTCTTTTTTACGATTTTTCATTATATATTCAACGCATCGGGCTCGAGGCATTTTTAAAAATACATCTCTTTCCGTTTATTCGTTTAAAACAATAACGGTTTCGCATCTTCCTTTTCTTATAGTTTTTGGTATTTACTTTTTCATCGTTTTTCGGTGTTGTACATTTTAAATGTAAATGGTTCTCCTTCGGTTTCTTTCTTTCTCTTTCCCTTTCTGTCTTCACTGAAATGTGAATGTCTCTGTATGCGTACATTTTTCTTGTTGTATTTTCTTTTCGTTACTTTACCTCCTATTTGCTCGATTTCTCTTTCCAAATCGACAAGATTTTTTGACTCAAAAACCATTCACTATTTTGTTTTCAAACATTTTTTTTTTTTCATTTACTTAGGAAAATGTATTGGTATGATTAGCTGTATTGAAATGCTTCGCAAGCAAAGCAGCCACCGCATTGCGCAAACAAAATGATGAAAATAATTTTCCAATAAAAATGTCCAACTGATATATATTTTGATGGAAATTCTTTAAATTGATTATTACCGTGAAAAATGTGAGTTTGCAACAACATTGAAATGGTGAAATTGGTCACATCATTATGAGTTTATTTGTGTTTTTAACATTTGAAAAAAAAAAAGTTTGTCTCCTTCTCGGTCATTTCTCTTTCATTATTTCCAATTAGTTTTCGTATTTTTCCTTCATGTCAATGATTTGTGGTTGATGTGTCAGTGGGATTTTTTCTCGATTTCAGGCAACTCTCGCTTGATCAGAACATGTTACATTCGGTGGAACGATGTCGTATGTGTATGTGTGTTTTGTAATTTGAGACGGAAAAACATCCCATTCGACAGCAGATGAAGAAATATGTTATTAAAACCCATAACAAATCCATGTATCTCTCGGTAGAATTCTAGTCCAATTTTCGTTTATTCTGTGCCCTTTCTCGCTCTTTTGTTCGACTTCTCATTTGGGCATATCGAAATTAAATTTAATGGGCCTCAAAAGTCAGTCAACGAATTTCCTCTAATTAAAATATTCAATTTCTAATTTATGAAAATCAATTACATTGGCAACTAGAATAACTCATTTTTGATTTCGTCCAATAATTTGCTATTGACTCTGTGCATTAAAGTTTGGAACTTCAGAAAATCCAAAATTTAAATAGATTTTTATCAGATCGTTATTGTCATGGTTCATTGAAATACAGCAAAAATATAGCAAAAAACTGTGGGACGGTTTTAACTTTTTTGCGTTTTTGTTTTTGTACTTGTGTACAAATTTCAGCAGATAATAGATGGGGAATTTCGGAAAGCATTTGATAACTTGGAGCAATGATGAACCAAATTTGCCAAAATAAAAGTATTTAAAAACACATGATGTAATACTTCATAATCATGCGTCGTGCATCCATAGGCACATACTGACAGAAGCAACGAAAAATGTGACTATCAGCGCCATGTACTTTATGGTGAAGAAATGTGTGAACAATCAAAGCGCTATTTGTGAAAATAACACAATTTGATGTTTACAACCACCAACGCTTACACATTTTGCCATTAGAGTACATGACGCCAATAGTCATGTGCATCATCATTTCAATTCAAAAGATTTTTATATCGATCGCTGATAACTTGTCACAAATTACTAAAAACAAATCAAACTCACATTTCGCAATCGTTTAACAGAAAGAGTTAACTTCAATTTAAAATAGTCTGAAAACGAATTTACTGCCACCAATATGTTATTTAGATTATCATCTCTTCACGCCCGTTGTAATTATGGACAGATAAGCGATGAGCGAAAATTTCAATTGAAACAATTTCGGAGGTTCCAAAGCAGTGAATTTGTTAAAAAGTTATGGAAAATTTGGCAACATTTTGTGGCGAAAATGATAACAGGTGATTATGAGTTGAAATGATATTTCCCGGGTATAATATTAAAATTCATGTCTATGAATCATAGACTATGATTTTTCCATCATTTCGTTTAAACGTAAAATCTCAAAATAATACATTATCAAAACGTCCAACTTCGAAAAATGATACCTTGTTACAAAATTGACACAGAGAATATTCATGGGCATAATTTCCGCCATTTTAACACCATTTTTATCAATTGACTGTGACATTTCAGTGCTAGCGATAAACTCGAAAGTTAAAGACAAACAATATTTGCGCAACACTCGAGTATACATTTTGGTTTGGATTTCATATCAAATTATTGTTCCATTGGATTATATTTCACATATC